CACGTGCTTGTGAAAAAGGACATAGCTCAGGAGATCAACTCTTTTAGGGTTCCCCCCAGAAAAGTTGTTGTTGTTGTTATTACAAAGCTTCGGGCTCCCCACCCCTGCTAATACATCCGTCTTGTGCATTTGTGGTGCCATTTTGACTACACAAGCGGTGGAACTCAAACCAGAAAATTGGAAAACAGAAGGAATCTTTCTGCAGTTGTCTTCAGATCCAAGTGCAACATTTTAACTCCCCAAAGAGGACAGTCCATTCTCGACACTGTTTTCGCTCTTAAAAACAAGAAACACCAGTGTGCAAAGTATGCATCTTAAACCCACACACAATGTGCATGGTACAACTTAGCATAATTGTACAGACAATAGTTGGCTGCATAATACAGCACAAATGGATCCAAGACATCCAGATTAAAAGCAGACAGCTGTTTAGTCTTGTTTGCTTACTATAAAAGTATCTTGGGTATCTATTCCTTGTTCCCCAATTAATGTTAAAAATCTATACTTTTATACCAGACATTTCCCTGAGGCTGAATATCTACTACTAAGTCTCATGCCTGAAATATCTAATTTCCAGTGAGTGGGATAAAGTTGCTTACCTTATTATTTTCTCACTATATGAGAGCTGCAAGATTTCATTAAAGCAGTAAGGTGACACCCGAGTGTTTTACCCAAGGCGCAAGAGATGAACCAGATCTAGGCCACGTACTAAAATATTTCTTCATTCTGGGTGCTTATTCCTTTTGCCTATTGCTTCTAATAATTGAAAAACTTCCAATTGACTGTAAAGTTTTGGGAGGATCTAGAAGATGATCTGACATTTCACTCAAAAAGCTATATACAGCAAGTAAACAGTTGCTTACCTTTAACAGTTCCCCTGCCAGAGGGAGATTCTTCAATGAGCTTTTTACTGGGATGTACATCAAGTTTAGGATTTTGGTTGGGTAAGTTATGAACAATGAAGTGCCTCAATCTTTCCCCTTAAACTAGAGATGGGGAATCTTCTTCAGGCCTTTAAGGCAACCTTCCAAGGACCACATGCTGTTGGTGTGTTGGCAGAGAGGTAAAGGAGTGACCTTTGTGCAGTAGGCTTTCTTCCTGCTAGCCTCCAACCCTATCTTTCACCCAGGCATGCAAGAAGCATTATCAGAACTCAAGGATATAATGCAGCTGGGCAAAGTCCTGAGAGTCGGACAGAGGGGCCTGGAGGACTACGTTTTGCTACTGAACCTGGGGTACCCTATCCCTGCCCTAAACCTTATATTTCAAAAGTGTACCAGAGGGCAGAACTGAACTTCCCCTTGCATCTACTTTAAGCTCCTCTGCAATCTGCTATCTTGACAATATCTATTTCTACACCAATCCATGATGCAGAAACGACCACCTGCCTATCAGAGCCTTGTCCATCCTGCCTTTTGAAAGCTAGCCAAGAGCGGGGTGACAAAATGGGTCCACAGGTGTGGTAAACCTATCTTTGTGTGACATAGGGTTGCATGCTGCCCTTAAAGAGGAACTAGGTAAAGGTAAAGGGACCCCTGACCATTGGGTCCAGGCGCGGGCGACTCTGGGGTTGCGGCGCTCATCTCGCTTTATTGGCCGAGGGAGCTGGTGTACAGCTTCTGGGTCATGTGGCCAGCATAACTGAGCCACTTCTGGCGAACCAGAGCAGCACACAAAACACTGTTTACCTTCCCGCCGGAGCAGTACCTATTTATCTACTTGCACTTTGATGTGCTTTCGAACTGCTAGGCTGGCAGGAGCAGGGACCGAGCAACGGGAGCTCACCCCATCACAGGGATTCGAACCGCTGACCTTCTGATCGGCAAGCCCTAGGCTCAGTGGTTTAACCCACAGCGCCACCTGCGTCTCTAAGACAGGAATTAGTCCACCCTTAAAAATCCCACACTTGACCCAGCGGAGTGTAATTTGCTGTAATAACTGGACCCAGTCATGAATGCCCCTTTCTTGGCAAAGGTGGTGGAGAAGGTGGTTGTGGAGCAACTGAAGATATTCCTGGATGAGGCTGGTAATTACAATCTGATGGTTGCCCTGATGGATGACCGTTATCATGTGAGACAAAAGTAGGGCAACCCTGCTACTTCTGTTCAATCTCTCAGCAGTTTTTGATACCATTGACCATAGTATCTTCCTGCACTAGCTCAGTTGGATTGGTATCAAAGGCACCGTATTATAATGGCTCCATTCTTATCTTCAGGCCCATGTTCAGAAAGGAGAAATGGGTGAGGGCTCATCTGCTGCCTGGTATTTCTTCCAACAGGTTCCACAGGGAACTATTCTTCCAGCAATGCCATTTAACATATATATGAAGCTGTTGGTGGTTGTCTTTAGGAGTTTTGGAGGAAGGCGTCATATATATGATGTCAGAGACATACACATCATAATGACATCAGGATAAAGGAAAAGTTAATCTAGATCTTGTAGGTAGAGGTGACTCAGCAAGGATAAATGTTCTCTGTAATGTCTGTTTTGGCACAGAGACTTTGGTAGGGATCCAAAGACAGATTGACATATATGGAACCCAATGTTAGCAGAGATGGAGTTTCTCCCTGACATCAATGTCAAGTGAATGATCCAAACTCTAAACACTGCCCAATGCTTAATTCAATGTGGAAGAACTCATTGTATGGATTTGTATGCATGAACCTGAATCGAGGCTTCCAACTCTATACAAAAAGAGATCCAATAACGAATTCTAGTAAATGCCAGATATATGACTAATAATGTTCAAGTGCTTATTAGAAATTTGATAGATGTTCAGAAATATGTTGCTGTTGCACAGAAAAACACCCTCCGAATAATGTGCAACTCCAAAATGAAAAATTTGATGCAATTACTAATCAGGAAAAATGATTCTAATAAATCATTCAACGATACATTTGCTCTTCATCAACTAAACCCATGGTATCTGAAGTTATTTACATTTTTAAAAAGCTCACCTGGCTTTGCAAATGACATTCACATCATTTGCATGTCACCTGACAAAGGCATCGTACCAATGCTTATTAATTTTGTGAACTTTTAACAGACCCATAATGAACAAAATGAAGAGATGAGTCACTCAATGTCAACAACTAAAAACTTAAAAAAACACTGTCATCTTATAACTCCTGCTTTAAAGCAAGGATTAGTAAATTGTAGCCACTGAGATATTTTTCTACAAGCCAGTTTGGGTTTGCAAAAATTCTCAAAATCCCAGCTTTCCTGGAAAACGAAAAATGTACTGTTCTAGCCAACCTTGTTCTTAAATATCAAGAAAGCTTAATGTTGAACTTAATGGAAAAAATTCTAACGTAAGACATTTTGTTCCTGAAGCATCAGGAATAAAAAAGACATGTTGAAGGAAGCCCAAATCCTCTTCTTTTCAATCCTCAAGTCCATCTCTCCAGATCTGGCAAGGTATGTTTCAAGTTTCACACTTCTGAGAGTGACTTGTATGACAAAAATATTGCAGAGTAAATGTAATGGGTTCACCAGCAAATCATATGCTGTAAAGTTAAGATGCCCTTTATGTGGGTGCAAAGATTCATTCCTGTCTAGTGCGACTTTTAGCTTTTTTCCTAAAGCAGCTATACTCATCTCTGGCATAAAAGTGTGTGGAAGCTGCATTGCATGGTAGTGAACATCTTTTGTACTCTGCTTCTTGCACTATAATGTCCGTTTTTGTATTGTAAGCTGCCTAGAGATTTTCCAAAGATCAGGAGGAATAAAATGTCTAAAACAACACAAGCAGACAACTTAACACACATGTATTTAGATGTGAGGATTGAGGTTACACACACACTTTTTGTTACTGCAAGGGAGGGTTCTCTTCACTATTGGTAGAATACTTGGCCTATCTGTCTCCTAATCTGTGTACTCTGAGATCAAGCAGGACCAGAACCTACAACGTGTTAATGTTGTCACGCAAGTAAGCAGCAATTAAATGTAATGAGTCTGTGCTGTGTTGTTTTCACTGTAATGAAACATGGCCTATTAACAAAGTACATGGAATTAAGATATCAAGGTCCAAATTATCAACATATTGTGACCAATATACAGATGATGGCTGAAAATCAGCAGACCAGTCCAAGGTAGACCCTACTGAAATCAATAAGCAACTATCATTGATACGTGTGTTTTAAACACGGGTGATGTTATCCTAAAGAACATGAAGTTCAAAGTAATCTGGAATACTGAACTGTTCAGCGGAAGTTAAATGGAAGAAATGTGTAGTGGCATTTATAGTTTGAACATATAGGAAGTTAAGTCTGTATTTGATGCCAGTTTTTTTCCTGAAAAAGTCAGACTAATCTTTTCAGCACTGTTTAGAGCATGGTGTTGATGACGTGTCCCCGCAACCATTTCCTTCCATCCCCCTCCCATCCCATCTTTGTATCTTGAACACAGCCATTGCTAAATTTCTGTATGAGCACGTTGGCTATTTTGCTTTGAGCCCATGAAGGTTATCTTATGATTAGTGGAAATTTGTTTAGCAGACACAGAAAATGGAAGATGAAACTGCAGCAAAAGCATGGCAAACCTGAAAGGTCAATTAGTGCATAAATCTATTTAAAAAACAGAAAAGATAGAACTTACAAGCTACAATAAAAGTTATGTCTTTAAAGCTGTAGGTTATATAACAGGGTGGGAAATGTTTAATATCGATTTCCATATGTGCTTCAACAAAGCATTTACAATCTTAAATTGGTGAAATATATACACTTTAAGAGATGCTACATTTTCCGTAGCATTTGATTTTCATATTGTATGAATCCAGACAATTATAAAAATCAGATTATTATGCTTTTCCCACCCTGGCAGAGAATAAACATGAATTCAGAAGCACAGTGGAAGTGGAAAACAAAGAAGAAAAGAGAGAAAAGGCAGCAGAGAAAGACAGAAGAGGTGAATACAGAGCTACAGAAGTGTTTATTGAGCATGCTACAGAGGCAAGCAGCGTACACATAAGAAGAAATTAAACAACCATCAAACCTCCCAACTTTGTTAGAAAATTAATTTTTAATTGTGCCGCTTTCAAACTATACTGAAATATTACATTTCTAAAGATGTAAAAACTCAACTAATAGAAAATATACATGACCTTTTTCTACATAGATAACAGAATCTATGACTCTTGGAACTAAGTACATCAATTGCAAAAAGTATTGGTCATTTGAACAGAATCAAGACAACAGTTCGGACTGACAGAGGAACTGCTTTCAAATTAATTAATTTTTCCTGTAGATTCTGAGTCATGTTTATAGTAAAGTCAGATCCATTTCTAGATACAAAATATTTTGAAGAGATTTATTAAAACTGAATATTACAATGCAAGGTAAATTAAGACTAAAGGCACATAAACTTTGGTCCCACCTGGTTGTCAGTTTTGTTTTTGTTTTTGTTTTATAAAGAAAACTGCCACAAAAATTATTAATCTTCCTGCAAAAGTTTGCAATACACTTTCTTCATCCTTGAAATACATGCACCAACTCCTGAACTAGCTAGACCGGTCTGCACATGCTCAGAAATCCACAACCATATTTCAAATTGTAATTACTAACTAAAAATGGCAATATATATTTAAATGCACATAAGTCATGTCAACTTCAAAAAACATCTACAAAAAATATTCAGCCACAAACAAGACATTACTTAGTGCCAACATTTATATGATACGCCCCCAGAGTGTGTGTACAAAAAAGGTTAAGACTTAACAATGCTTTCCCCACAGAGGCTCAGAGCCCGAGGGGTAAAACAAACTAACTAACAAACCCCAAACAAAATAATCATCCTGTCTTTAAAAGAAATTATTTCTCTGCATCTTGTTAACTTTGACTTATGCCTATATCCTTGACCAAACTAAATCTGGAATACACAAGGCCATTTTACTTAATTAAAAAAGAAACAGACAAGAGAGAAGCACAAGTCAAATGTGCTGCATCTCTCTTAAAGTAACGCAACATATTTCATTAAAAAAAAAGATTCATGAAAGCCAATAAATTCCAAGCAGGAGAAACAAAGCTTAACCCTTTTTACACACTCCTGCCTAATACACATTTGGCATAATCCTGCAAAAGTTAGGTGCAGCGATGTCCCTCTGAAATCAATGCTTTACAAATCAATAGATTTCAATGGGATGTAGGCAAACCTAATGTTTACTGGATTGCACCCATTAATTCCCATGTAACAATGTGCCCCAGACAACCAATTTTTTAAACTAGTAAATGCAATTCTAGCAACTCTAGGTTTTCCTTTTTTAAGGCACGTATGTTAACTAAGTTGAAAAACTATGGGATTTCCTCAGAATCCCTTTTTAAACAAAATCCTTTCATAAACATATGCAAAACCAGCAGATAATACCACTGCTTCTTCCTTGTAAATCCTTTTTTGTTTTCATTTATACATAAACAATCAAGGAATGGTAACAGCATGAAAAACAGATGTCCATCTCTGGTCCCCGCTTTCCCGAACAGTCATAGATGACAACACTAAACAACGTGATACAACCTTATTATTTTGATCTCGCACTTCAAATGGTTGATTTGGAAAAAGAAACTCTCAGATGATGATTTTCTCCAAGATTGTAATTATGCAGATCAATCAAAGCCTGGATAGCTTCTTCTACTGTTGACATCTGAAGAAGAGCCATCTTGTGATCTCTTCTGGAACAAAGCAATAAAATTAGATACCAAAGCAGCACTAGAAAATTGTAACATAAACCTTGTTCTTACCAAAGGCAGCTGTTCTCTCGTTTTAAATGAAGTTTCAAAGAAAACATGCTTACTGAAAAAATTTAAATGCTTTCACAGTTCCCCCAGTATTAGCAAACAGCATGCGTAGGTCATCTTCGGATACTGATGGTCTAAACAAAAAGGGGGACAAAGGGGAGAAGAGAGAGACGATTAGAAGCTAACGTCTGGATCTTGTATGAATCTTTCAGCCGTGTTCCGCACACTTACGGGATATTGGATAAATGAAGAGTTGCAGATGGAGGGAAAATATTCTGAAAGTTTTTTGACCCAGGCTTCTTGAAGCGATGAAGAGGTGAATTGCCAAAGTCTTTAGTCAGTCCTTGGTCATCAAGCCCTTCTCGAGGTAGCTGAACTGTCTGGTGTTTGGAAAGAGTCACGCGAATAATCTTTCCATACATTTTCTGTCCGTTCAGATGGCTCATGGCTGGAAAACAAAACCAATTACTCATTTCAGCGTTTCTTCTATTGAATTCAGTAGTGTAATTTCTAATCTGTTCAGTGTTTGGGGTGTAGCATTTGATGGCAATTTTCTTTCGATAAATTGACAAATTTAGCTATTATTGCTATCTGGAAATCTTTCAGTCTAAATTTTACTGACAGCTAATCTAAAAGCTGTGCTCATATTGCAAATGTGCCCAGCAAAGCAATAAACAAATTACTTTTTCATACGTTGCCAGACTCTAGTTAGTTATTATTATGGTCACCGAATTAATACAAATTATGATTTCAATAGGGCTTTATTTTCTTCAGACGTATGTTAAGTTTATGGGCAAGGATCCAAAAGGCCATACACATTGAGCTCCACATGCACCAGGTTTTTCAAGACCCTCTCACCCGCCCCCCCCCAAAAAAGCTATGCCTTAAGATGCAGTTATATTTGATGTGACTAGGGAGATATATAAGGAAGGGAGAAAGCCTCAACTTTCCACCTGTGCAAGCAAGGAAGCATTTTATGTGTACACAGGGCTCTTTGGATCCCAACCGTGGTATTCACAAAAGGAGCTTGTGTTAATAACAAGGAACTCTCTGGCCTAGCAAGTCACTGAAAAGCAAGGGGAACTTCAGGATCAGATTTCCAAAGCAGTGTAAGAAGCTGTGATCTGAGGAAAATAACATTCTTCCTACACAATCTCAGATTTTAGAAAGATTAGAAGCAAACGCTGAAATTTAAACATGACTTGAAGGACACCGAAAACTAACGTTTAAGTGGCAAATAAGAGAGAGGAAAAACCCACTAATCTCACCGAGCTGTGATTGGTTTCCATCAGCCATCTGTATAAGAGCACTGTCTTTCTTATTGTATAAAATCTTCACACGCTGCACATCCCCATAAACACCTTTTTAGAATCAGAGAAGTAAATCCAAAAGAAACAACGTTTTTAAGGATAGCTGAATAGCACATTTTGACATATCAATGAAACATTCAGAACATGTCTCTCACTTCTCCCAACATTCACGCAAATGAATAAAGAAGAACAAGATTTTGAATAGGTGAATTTTGAAAAAGAAGACATTTTTTTGATAAACCCTCAAAGCTATGTGAATGATATTAAATTAAAGATCATGCAAAATAAAAAAGCATGCATTAAAAGAAAAATTTGCATCTATGGAGAGCTTTAAAAAACAGCAAAAGAAAAATAGCAAAAGATTTACTATTCAACTTTAAAGCCAAAGTGCTAGCTACAAATAAGAATTAAGGTGAAACAAATAATTAAATCAATAATAAAAGTATAGTGCTAACGATAACATACCGAAGAGGGTAAACAGACTTTGGGGCGTAACCATCTTTAGAAGGAGAGAAGAGCAAGCAGCATAAGACAAGAAGAGAGAAGAGTCGAGGAAGAGCGGAGATGAACAGATCATCCATAACGAAGGGTGGTTCCCGCAGAATGGTGAGGTGGTCATGGATCATGGTTCAAGGCGGTTAATTGGGGCAAGTTGGTCCGAGGAACATTTTGTTCAAGCACAGAAGCATGAACATAGGGGAATGGAGACAGGGGGTGTAGACAAGGTAGGCAGAGGAGAAGACAGGGAAGGGTGTGGGAATTTGGGAAGAGACAGGGAAGGGGTAGGTGAGAACAAAGGGAGAAGGATGAAATGGGGAAGGGAAACAGCAATGCAGAAGAAAAATAAGGAAGTGGGGAACAAAAAAAAATAAAATATAGGTCAGTACATAGGAAATGCAGGAATTTGGTCAGAAAATGGTTGGTTTATGTATTGTACAAGAAAACTGAGTAAAATGTAGTCACCCAAGACAAAATATGGGTAAAGTACATCCATATCAAACAGTAAATTACGTCTCATCTGAATGTGAAAAGAAAAGAAAAATCCATGCAATAGAAACTTAAAACAAAAACAAGCCCAACTCTAAACTTTAACTGCATAAGCATGGCTGGTTATGAAATGCAGGCAGGAGTTTTTCAAAATGGCACTCTGATCCAAGCATTTTAATGTGCAAGAGTGTAAATGACAAAAATGAGAAAAGCATAATGGTTCAATATTTAAAAAGAGGCCAATAAAAAAATGAAACACATATTCAAAGGAGACAAATGGATACAAACTATCCCACATTTCATACCAGCTTTCACAGCAAGTCAAAGTAAAGGTACAAGATGATAAAATGCAAAACTAAAGAAAACCTCTTCGATTTCAGAGTTAAAGAAGTATTGAAGTAAAGTGTTGTTGTTGTTTTTGGGAGAAAAGATGAATAAAAACTGTGAAGGAAAGATAAAATTACTAAGAGAGATTGAAGAGTGCTGCAGCAAGATCTTTGGGAGAACCTTCAAAGAAAAATGTGTTAGAGCTGTTCACAAATTAATACTACAAAAATGCAATGACATGTAAGCATGAAATGAACAAGCAAATAATTAGCTCAGGCAAAACAGAACAGCAGTTTTCTTAAGAACCAATTTACAAAATGGAGCACATAGGTACTTGGAAAAATAAACTAAAGGCATCCAGAACATGCAATATTTACCATATTTTTCTTAGGAAAAATAGGTAGCCGAATAGCAAAGGGTATTTTAAAAGGTGCTGGCTACCTAGGAAAACAGAAGTATTTAACTATAACAGAAACAATTTATTGGAATCTAGTTGTAAAACAACCTTGGGTAGCATTGGGGGGGGGGGGAGCACTGATCTTAATAAATAAAAAAAAGTAGAAGCAAGCTCAAGATAAAGAAGCACTTAAGCAGTTTACAAAATGAAGCATGGTAAAGAAAGAAAAAAGAAGGGTGAACAAGTAGGTTCACTGACCTCTTCATTTAAATTGCTAACCAGGAGGACTGTGTTGCCACCAGCTGAAACTCCAGGCATACCCACACGACCGGCAGCTGCCGCGGCGGCGGCAGCAGCAGCATTTGGAATCCCCAATGGACTCAGCGCTCCTGGAACAGCTGCAACAGGAAGCCCTAATTTTAAAATAAAGCATATTTTACGAAACACACACAAGTCGTTCCAATATAATCTAATTTAGAAGTGTTGTGTTGGTTTTGCGCCTTTGTCCAGATCTATCCATTTGTAGGTTGACCTATGTGGAATTCCGCTTCTTCATGACAAACCAATGTTCCAAAGAATCCCGAGAGCGAAAACCTCGTTACTAGTTCACTAGCACGCGACACAGAACCTGGCATTTCCTCCCTATCAGTCCTTAGCTTACCATTTCAGTTAACACAAACATGATCCTGTAAGAAATAGCTCACTGAAGGTGTTTGTGCTTAATTTACCCATCAGAAATCTATGGCAGCTTCAATGGCACATGAAAACAAGTCGCACTAAACAAATGGGTCAAGCACTTTCAAGTTCAGCTACTCAATAAGGCGTGCCTCCAACATGTCTTTAACTATAAGAAAACAAAAACAAGGGAAATACATCTGACCTGCTCCTTTGATATTTTGCAAATATCTACAGATAGTGAGGGAGGCTTATAGCCAAAAACCATCAAATAATAGTAATAATAATAAATTTATTATTGATACCCTGCGCACCCGGCTGGGTTTCCCCAGCCACTCTGGACAGCTTCCAGCGCATAGAAAAACAAAATAAAACATCAAACATTAAAAACTACCCAATATAGGGCTGCCTTCAGCAAATGTCTTCTAAAAGCTGTGTAGTTCTTATCTCCTTGACTTCTGATGGGTCTAAATCTTGAGTCTAAATCCTGTGAGGAACATCATTCCTCCTACCACTGAAATCATCACAACTTCCTGGCAACGATATACAGTTAGAGAAAAGGCCCAGAGCCACAAAGCACCAAATCTCAAGTCTAGACAGTCACTCCTCCTAACACAGAAACCACAACTTCTTAAATCAAATGCTTTCTAAAAGAAAATGCTGTAGATAAGGAGCAACAAGTAACACCATGACACACCTTTCCCAGAATCCTTTATTCACAAGCTACCTGTGCTGGATGTAGAAGTCATGTGTACCTAAGGTCTTATAAGAGCTGGTTGTTCAATACAGTCTAAATATTATTCAATGCTGCAGAGATTAATTGAAAAATGTGCATGTACTATCAGCTGAACCCTTTGGAGATTAATGGGAGAACACCCTGTAGCTGCTAAAGAGCTACTAGGTGCACAATGCCATCTGCAGCACTCATCTCACCTAAGGATGTTTTAAAAATTAACAAAACAAGCTTTTTACCAAAAAACCCAAAACAAAACCTGGAACATTAAAGCTTCCATATAAAGAATGTGTGCTTGTTCTGAGAACAGACCATTTCTAGTTTAAAAAACCCCAGTTGCAGCTGTTGTCATTCCTCTGCTCCATCAACTCACAAGAAAGCGGAAGTACAGTCAACTTCACCCAATGACTCACCCTGCTCTCCCTTACCAAGAGCTCTCCGGGCTCAAGGTGTAGTTGGGAAGAATATTACCACCTTCATTGTGGCTGGGTGATCCTGGAAGCTAATGTGACTTGTGAGGATGTTTAAAGGGGGTAATTTAAAGGGTGGTGCTTTTTTTGGAAGACTGCTTTAAATTACTCCTAATCTTCCTCTTTAAGCACTCTGCCAATCTGTAGTGAGTGAATACAAAGCATTTTTCCCAAAAAAACTCACTCAAAGGTGATAATGATCTCAGCCTTTAGCACTATTACCCTTTTCATTTTAAAGTCATTTTTTAAAAAATCCCTTTTCAGCCGCTATGATTGTATGAAAAGGTGCTAAAAAAAGTCTATGGTTTTATTGCAAATTACCCTCTAAAAGTTACTCTTTTTCAACTCTCTGCCATACTCCTAATTTTATTGATTAAAATGGTTGTGTTTTTCCTCCTACTAAAGGCCAGAGAAGAGCAAACACATGCAAACATTACACAAGATATGGGCACAGCCCCCACTCCTTTTACACATAGTATTTCCTTAAGGAACTATATGTAGGCAAAAGCTTCTGAACCACATTTCTCGCGTTATGAATTCATTTTTTAAAATTCAAACATAAAAACTTAAGAAGACCCCTACTGCTCCCAGTGGCCAACCAGATCCTTATGTGCAGTTCACAAGCAGAATGGAGGTGGATTAACACACTGTCTACTGGTGTTACTAACAAGTGGTATTCAGAGGCATGCTACCTCCACAGCATCAGAGGAAGCACACACATTTTGCAACTACTATCGTGACAGCATCTCTCCAGCCACACTGGTCTGGCGCCAACACTTTCCTTTTCTCACAGGCACCAGGTTACGGCTTCCCTTTCCCCCCATGCATCTGATGAAATATGATCCAGCTGTATCAAAGCTTTATGTTAGGAAGCAATTTTATTTTATTTTTTGAAAATCGTGCTGCTCTGGTTTGCTGATAAAAGTTGTTTTTTTGTGGATGCTGTTGTTGTTTTATGTATTGATTTGCTACATGCTGATATCCATTGTTTTTAACCATGTTGAATAAATTTACTAAAGCCAATTCAACGCTAATTCTTTCTTACAACTAGGTATTACTTGTAGCATAAGGACTCACAGAGAAAACTGACAGCGATTGGCTTATTCACAGAAAATACAGGAGTGAATTCTGGTGAAAGTATCCAAATGCAGACAGAAATGACTCAAATGCATCTTCAGTTTTAAATTTGCGAACTTTTAATTCCCAACCCATCCCCTGGGTTAAATTAAGTCACCACCATCATGTTATTGCTCTTAAGATACACAAATAGACATAGTGAACTTCTGGCATTTCTCCTCATCCAATTTTCTTTAATAGAGTACAAATTTTATATCATCAATAGAAATCAAGCACTTCTAATAGATTGAAAGTGAGTTTTTCTATTTGTAAATTGGCCATCCTTTTTAATGAGCAGTTATCCTTTTGTAGAAGAAAAAATTGTATGAGGAAACACATCATACGTATACATCTGGGCCAATGATATCCATTAAACTTTAACCTTTTAATCCTGGACACTCAGAAAGACCCAGAAATAGGACCAGATTGTATATACTTCAGATGCATTAAAGAATGAAAGTTAAGAGGAAGTATGAATAGCACTGCACTAGTTCTGAATATTATGTTACATCAGGAGATAGCAGACATGGACAGCAGAGTCCCAAAGTTGTTGGGGGTTTTTTAAACTGAGGGATTGTATCTAAACTTCACACGGTCAGGAAAATCACTAGCTCATGTGCACCTAGGTATTTCTCAAGAGAACATTCTTGCTTCTATATTTAATGGGGCCTGGCTGATAAATAAAATAAATAGAATCAAATTGCATGCATAATCACCTATAGCCATACTCACAGTTCAGTGCATTTCCCCTTGAAGCAATATTCATCAGCACAAAGCAAAAAGTAAATTTAATTGTCTTTCGACAATACAATGTGTTGCCCCAATGAAGGGAAAGAGTAATATGATTTCAGCAACAAGGTTGCCCCCACCCCACTGCTTACACCACAGAGAGGTAAGCAAAAGGAAAATGAGAAATAATTCTCAACTCTGCAGCAAGAACATATATAAAGAAGTAAACATAAGAATTACATTTTCAAACCTATTAAAAATGCCTTGATATGCCACTGAGCTTCACTGTAATACATATATAGAGACTGTAAACCTGGCAGTAGATGGCATGAGAGTGGCTATAACTTAACGGTAGAGCAAATGCTATACAGAGGTGGTTTAAAGTCATGTCTGAAGCAGTAAGGTTTAATCAGTTCTGTGATGGGAAGACCACATTGCTTCAGTTTTCATAAAAGAGGAACCGTAGCGATATAGGAGTTAATGCATCTGAGATTGAGGAAAAGCCAGGTGCTCTTGCTCTCAACTATGTGGGGCCAAGCAATCCCCATCCAATAATACTAGAAAAGGCCTTACATGAAATAGCACATGTATTAAGATTCATTTTATAGGTTCTGGGGGGTACCCAATGAATATAAAACATATGTAGTAAAGAAATGGCATAAAAGAAGCTGAAATAATGGGCAGCCCTGTTAGCTTCAGTAGCAGGTACTCAAGTTAAAAGACTGGGAGGGATACAGGTTAAAAAGGAGTGAGGAATCAGCTAATGTGAACAGAATTTGTTGAAAGGGAAGAAAAGTTTATTGAAAGTAATAATCAAGAGACCTATTCTTCAGAGCTCAGGGTCTACTTTATTCAGTATTCTCATTAATGATTGCATGGATAAAAAGTTAATACAATCTGCAGATACTATCTTAGAAGACATTGTAAATATTGAGAATGGAGAGAGAAAGAAACAAAATCATACCTAGAAGAGAGGTCTCCTTGGCAAAGGCAGCAGCAATAGCAGGATCCAAAGCTGGTTGGCCATCACCAGAGGGAAGGTCAGGGCGAGTATAATCCCTACTTTTATCATTATTATACTTTACATTCAAGTTGACCAATTTGGAAAAATCAATCCGTAAGGTACAACAGGCATTATAAATATTCTGACCATCTAACGCCTAGAAAAATAGGAAAATATTAATGAAGATCACATGACAGATGTTACAGCTGAGGTTTAAACATATATACCCATACATCCACTGAAATTAATATAAAAATGTTTAATATGCATCACCGCATATATGGAACTGGATACTATCAAATATTATATTCAATAGTAGTTGGACATTATTAGCTAGATAATGCTGATATAGTTGGTTTAACTTTGTATTATTTTTTATTTTACAAAAAGCGGGGATGTAAGGTAAAAAGAGAGCCAGGAAATTACAGACTGGTTAGCCTAGCTATTCTCGAAATTTTACTAAAACCATTGGAACTAGAATTATCGTATTTTTCTGTGTATAAGACAATGGTTTTTGCTAAAAAATAATTAGTAAAAAATTGGGGGTTGTCTTATACATGGATGGCGAATGCACAGGGACTCAGGTGGCCAGGGCTCAGGTTCAGTCTCTGGCATGGGCAGCCTGGGCTTAGGTTTGGGTTCTGATGCGGGCGGTTTGGACTTGGGTTCTGGCAAGGGTGGCCTGGGTTTGGGTTTGGCTGCGGGCAGCCTGGGCGCAGCTGGCCTGGGCTTGGGCTTGGGATCTGGCTCAGGCAGCCTGGGCTTGGGTTCAGGATCTGGCACAGGCAGCCTAGGCCTGGGTTCTGGCCTGGGTGCCCCGGGCTTGGGTTTGGGCAGCCTAGGCTTGGGTTTGGGCTCTGATGTGCATGGCCCAGGCTCAGGTTTGGGCTCACAGCGGCCAGCCTGATGCCTATGGAAAACATGTAAGCAGGCCCCGAGCACACTCTCCCCTCCTGCAGTTTCCAGCAACTGGTGTCAGTTACGAAGTTCAAAACAGGTATTTCCTTCCTCAAATCTAAACTTCAGTGGTCATACTTTCCACTGAAACAGAGGTGAACATAGCTACTACAGATAGACCTATTCCTTCCCTCAGATGAAATGAAATGGGGTATCAGTGCAAGCCTTCCAGGTGAGTGAAACACCCAATGGCACAGCTGGATGACAGTAGTTTTAAGGGCAGAAACTGATCATCTTTCCATATCCAACTCCTGCAAGGCTTCAATATAATGTATGTTATAAGTATGAAAAAACATGCCTCCAAAATAAGCTCGAACAGATACCATACAGGCACAAAAGCATAAAATATATGTTATGTTCCCTATTAAATTGTAAAAATAAATATAGAAGTTCCTTTCCAACTTCAAAAATGAGGAAACAAGAAAAACTTGAGCTCACAAGTGACTCTAAATGAGCATCCATAAAAGCATCTCACAGCATGCATGCACATAATTAGCATCTCTTAGATGATGCAAACATTTGCCATCTGTTTTGAGACCTCAAGGAAACCAATCCAACCTATGGAACACAAGCTCTGACACTATGAATAGCTGTGGTGATAACGCTTTTCCCTGTCTCACACCTCTTCTCAAATTTCTCTCTCATCTCTCTCCCGTCTTCAACAGTATCTTATCACCACCTCAGTCAAGAAACACCAAGCAATGTCAAAGTATATGGACAGCAGGTGTACTAAAAAAATGAAATGGCACTGTCCTCCAGGCACATTGAAACCGAGAACAGAGTGACTGGATCGAGGAATGAGTTTATCTGAAAACAAAGTAACACACAACAATGTTGCAACACTTGTCAGTTTGACAATATTCCTGTGAAGAGAACTAATCAAGGCCTTTCTTTCAGGATTAATTGGCAATAAGCTGTGCTGCAACATATAGCTGATTAATCAAACTGATCACTTAAAAACTTTTTCATTAAGGAAGAGCTTCCAATTAATTGAGCAGATTAAAAGTAGGAGTAAACTAACACATATTTCTGTTAAATCCAGATTTTAATGTATTGCTGATTATTTTTGATGGAGACATCTCTTATATGTATATACAAATTACTTGCACACTTGATCTTAAAAGCCAACGTTTATCCACCATGATGGTATGCATACAAGAGCTTATTTATAACTCGGTGTGTTTTGCAAAGGCAGAAATTTTAAGGCAATGGCAACTTCAGATGCTTCAGCTACAATAACAACAGTCTGATAGGGAAATAACCCAACGTGAGCCAATGTGAAATAAAGAGAATCATTTTATGCCAGAATTCACTTTTTCAACCTGAATAGCAAGTCTGAACATCATAGGCACTTCATAGCCAACAGTGATGTTGACAAGGCTATTTTCATCAGACTCCTTAGGAAATGCTACTTCATCTAGGTGCTTGATTTTCTTAAATTGCTCTTTAAACTTCCTTATTGAGCCTTCAATTTCTTTGAAGGCCACATTCCGATTCCCTATAAAGAGCACTATCTGCAAAGTAATTTTACCATTAACCTTTATGGTAAAAAACTGAAAATTTCATTTAGCTTCTCTTCTGCAATAGTAGGTTTTTAAACTGACCCTTCAGAATGCTGGATATTTTATCACCCAAAGGCACATCATGAACCGCTTTAAAAAGCATCTTAACAATGTATTTAGATGTCTAAGGTCTGTAATCCTATACATATTTTCTTGGGAGCAAATCCAATAGAATTCAGTGGGACTTGCTTTAGAATAGACACACAAATGATTGCATTGTAAATTATCTCTTCTCATTTCTGCTTCATAGCTTTACTTATCAATTCAACGAATGTTTAGATTGTTTAATGTTTATAAATGCTGGCTAAGACTAGAAAGCAGGCTGTAGGATCTCCACCCTAATTTAGATTATTTTCTAAATGTAGCACATAAACAAAATTCAGGTGCTCAACCTAAATCAATGTACCAACTCCATGCAGTTAAGCATTAGGTAGAAATATTAGATATGAAGTTCCCTGCCACAGCATTTTCTTAAAAAGGACCTCTGTCAATACTTTCCATTAGTTTATTTCTCAAAGCCTTAAGAAAACAGTTAAGAGAAACTTAGTATAACATATTCATTTTGGTCCTAGGTTATTTTTGGGTGAAACAGTGATGATACTATTGATTTAGGAACAGAATGTTTACTCACAGGCAGTAAGATCCTGATGTTCATTTATAATCTCAAAAGTTACTTATTTTGTCCACACAAATACATTTTTGACAAAACAAGTACTGCCAGCTATACGTAACCCTATACTTATTAATAAAGGCTAAACAGAATTAAATATACTTACTAGCTTTGCTTGTTGGGCATTTACTGGATCACCATACTGTAACAGTGCTTGAAATTGGTTATTTTTTGTGAATGTAATTATTTTCAAAACTGCACCAAATTTAGAGAATATCTGTGAAAAACAATCAAAAGTACACAGGTACTCAACTTTACAAGTCACAAAACAAAACACACCCACACAAACCACTAAGATGTTACATCAGTGTATCTGGTTAGTTTCAGAGGGGCAGCTGCAATGGTCTGTTGCAGCAAAGAATCTTGGGGCACATTAAAAAAATGAATATTTTTGGACTAGAGGATACTAGATGCAGGAAGCATTATGCTCACTTGGCAGGTATATACACACATGAATTTAGAGCAGGGTAAGATTTATTTATTTTCCTACTGAGGGTTGCATTCCATTGGTTAATTAGTTAGGTACATTTACTCATTCATTCAATTTGTGATAAATGAATGAAACAATCTAGGCACCATACACTTTTATTCTCTTTTTTGGGTGGGTAATGTTAGAACCACAATAACCTTAAGCAACAGCCAGCGTAAAGACCCAGATACAAAACTTGAAGAATAAAATACAGCACTGGGATGACACAGCTTGAAGTTGATATCATGGGAGGCAAACAAACCAGTCAAACCAACCCTTCATTCTTGTTAACTTTGCCACCAAGCAAATTGTACATTAAAGCTTTTAATGCAGTAGTTTCAGAACTGGGGTTTGTTTGTTTGTTGGCATTTTATTTCCATCTAGCCACAGCATTCCCAATCCCTCCACCTGTACCTATGTGTATACACCTGCCAAAAGAATGACATATCCAAGTATAGCAACAAAAATAAACACTGCCAGGAGAGACATGAAGAGCTCATGTCAGAGCTCTTCAATGGGCAGTCAGCCAGCACCCAAAAGTCCTATTTTTTTCCACTGTGCTCATTCTAGCAAATAGGTGAATGTCAGGCATTTACAAGTGGAGCTGAACTGAATTTTCACCTTCAAACATTTTTGAGGTCTCCCATTTTCCACTTACAAAAAAAGTTTAACAGGACTTCTCTCTCCTTTATGACATAATACCAACCAATCAGGGATCACAGAATGAACACATTCTATTTGTAGCCTGCTCTTACATGATGCTCCAACTTGTTTCCCACCTAAGGAACTGATCAGGTCCACCCCTGCCTAACTGTAGTAAAGCTTCAGGATCAAGTACCAGACTGAGCCCTTCGTGCAGTTACCATGATAAATGTCAAAGACATTCAGCATTGTTTTCTGGCTACATGAAGACGTCACAAGGCCAGTCTGCAGCCCTGATTCAGCTCTAATTGCACCAGAAGGCACATGTAGGTACACAATTCACTAAGAGCAGTCAATTGTCAACATACAATATCTGCGCTCAGAAATACACCCAACCCAACACATTGTATTTTGCAATGCTGTTCTGTAGCAGTTTCATTGCAACAGTGTGGCAAATCCAGGAAGTCTCAGGAATATGAAACTCATGGAAATGTGCATTTCTGAAAACATTCATGAATTTTGGACCATACGGTTCTGCTGAATTCTTACAAAAAGTTTATACTCCCTTCCACATCTGGGGGGCAAAACAAACATTCTACATAGATCCTGAAAGTGTATTTCCTGGCCAGTTTCTATGGGTTCAATTCTGCAGTAGAACCTCCCCTTCCCTCCCCCCCTATTTCAAATATGCTACAGAAGGTTGGAAGAATTCGCCAGAGCAGGTTTGGGGGGAAATGGAGGGACACAGAAGGAGGAGAGGGAAGGTAAGTTCCATTACACAAACTGAAGTTGTTTTCTTTACTTAATGACCATGTTTACTGACACATTTGCTTTGTTCTCTGCTCAAAAAATCCCCGTAAAAAGAAAGACTTACTTGGTGGAGAACATCAAGAGTTACAGGATAATACATGTTATCAATAATTATTCTAAGGACAGGACTCTGAGCTGGCGTTACTGCACTCTCGCTAACTGTGGTTCCACTTATGGGAGTATTTGTTGTCTGTACTGCAGTCACTGCTTGTAGAACAGCTTGAGCTCGCTACAATAAAAGAGAAGGGAAAGCATTCAAAATGAGAATATGTGAATTAGATTTAAAGATTAGTATATTCCATAGTTGCTTCAATGTACCTTTTTAAAAAGTCAATGACAGAATGGAATTTCTAAAAATATTTTAGCTTTTATTTTTGCTCTCCATATGACAGTATGAATACTTTCATGCACAACATCTTGACACTCTTTATCTACGTTAAACTGGATGTTGATAGTGTATCAGAGTGTAATAACTTAGACTAAATTTGTTAATGCACAGCAGATGTATATTTTTCTGAAATGAAATCAAGATGGAAGGGGAGAAATCTGTGCTATTGCAGGACTTACCTATCACTTCTAAGCATCAGAAACAACAGTACTCTCATCAGCTGAAGAGAAGCCAGAGATGGAATAGGTATTTCAACAACAAAATACTGTACATTTTGTTGAAATAAGGTGCAGCAGTTGGCCACAAGCAAGCTCTAGAAGACTGGGGTATATTCTAAATGCACAGGAATGTAAGCTTAGCCATTTTTTTTTACTTTCTTTTTCCATTGATGGGCCCGAGACCCATTATTCCCCACCTTTCCTCTTCAGTCCAACCAGTTCCAAAGATTGGAAGGAAACCTCCAGCAAAGAAAGTACTACTGCTTGCTGTTGAACAGGAAGAAGTAAATAAGAAGACTGCCTGAGAACATAAGAGTGCAAAGGAATCCAAGCTTCTGTATTCTCAATAATCTATTTTCTCACAGGAGAACACTTCTGGATAATGTATCTCTCAGTTTTAACAAAAAGGATCCCTCCCCCCCCCCCTTTTGCAGTTAGTGTTTTAGGTTAACTTGACAATTCTTTGTACTATAAAACTTAACTGGAGTCAGTCAAAAATAAAGGTCAGCTTAACCAAGTGTTCTTCAGCTTTGAGTTCAAAAATGTTGATGGATTACAAATTCTATCACCCTGGTTAGTGAAATCCAGTCAAGAGGGGCTGACCGAATGGGAGCAGGGCATGGTGAATTGCATTTTTATGTGATGGAGTGGCACCTGACACCCTTAAACAGGCAGTGGCACACCCACTCCTGAAGAAACCCACCTTGGATCCTATGGTTTACAACTATTACCTGGTTGCAAATATCCCTTTCTCAGGTAAGGCAGTGGAGAGGCTGGAGGCCAAGCACTTATAGGAATTCCTGAGGGACATGAATAGTTGGATTTGTTTCCATCTGGGATCCGGTGCAGTTGTGGGACTGAATCAGCCTTGTTTGCCGTAATGGATGAAATAATAATATTTAATATTATTACCAATAATAATATTATTGGTAATAATAATATTACCAAGAGTGAATGGGGGAGTTGCTTCTCAATCTCTCAGGGCTTTTGATCCCACAGACCATGGTTTCCTCCTGGAACACCTCTGTGGTGCCTACTGAAGTCTATTATATTATTATTTCAGAAGGCATTTTAACCGATTTTATAATTTTAATGGATTTTTTCCTTTTTGTATTGGATCCTCAGAAACCACTTAAGAGACTATTGTAGTTAATCAGTGTGTAATTAGTTTGTATGCATAAATAAACAAACAAACAAACAAACAAACAAACAAACAAATAAATAAATGGTACTATTGTTTTCTTCTTTTATGAATCACCTCCCATGAGGCATCCCAAAGTATTTTGACAATGCTTATTAAAGGTGATTAAAAGTTCTATTCCCAGTTCAGCTCTAGTCATGCAAACCTAGTCCTATGCAACAATAAATGACCCTGGATGGCAATGAAAATCTACATATGCATCAAATATGTGTCCAGTCAGCCTAATGATGACTGGATGGACTGCATAATCCATGTACTGAGTCATGCAGGTGTAATCCACTGTGATGCCTTGTTACTTTTTATATATTATCTTTAAGTGTACGATCCTGCCTTTATCTGCACAAGGTAAAGATCTTGTACAGGATCCTTGCCATTTGCAGCTTATATATTGAAGGTATACGTTTATATTTCTTTAAACTCCCCTTTAGTTTTAAACATTCGCCTGTTAGCCCAGAATAACTGGGTTTAGGCTATGTGATGAACAGACCAGAAGTTTTAACACTGAAAGTCAATATTTATAACAATCTGTTTATAATTTCAGATTATATGATTTTTGCAAGTTAGGTGTGAAACATTTTGTTTGATATTTACTTTAAAATGTTACCGTTATTTCAAAGTACTATGTACTAGTTTTTTCCCCTATTCTAAGTCAATAGGCTTTATCCCTTCCAGTTAACACATGGGCTTTGCAGAGGATTTAACCTTAAGTCTTCCCTCTAGTCACTTCTTCAGCTTCAGCCTTCTGTGGTTTCAGCCCTGGTGTCCTGAATTCTTTCTCCCTGATGTCACCAGGACCTTTTGCCTCTCAGCCCTGCTCCAGCTGCTGCTTCTCCAAACTCTGAACACAATCTGAAAGTGGTGTGTCTGCACGTCAATTCTCTTCAACCAAAACCATTTAACCAAGCAAAAGCTACTCTCTGATAATTCAACAGCTCACTGATTTTTAAACCAATGAGTTTGGAAAGTCCACTAAGAACCTATCAGAGCCTGACCTTTCTGATTCCAATATCTGACATAAGAGCAATGGTCTTACACATCAACTGACAAAAAGCTCACGGGACACACACAATCACCTCTTTAGAACTGTACTTGGCTAGCTGTTTCTTGGCAGTTTGCCAACTGAAGGCAGCCTGCACTGTATCTAAGGTCTCAGTGAAAAGTACACTATTATCTACCAACCCAATAAATGTACATATAAATTCATTTCACATTTATGCAACTTTTACCGTTTCTGCGTATCAACCTTTGACTCAACACAGTGACAGAACTCCCACTGACACAGTGGAGTGAACTTACACTTTTAAAGTCAATCAATTTATTGTATATATCCAAAGACCTTTACAATGTACAGCAGAGGCTAAGAACAATGCTGAAATCACATAACATGACCTATAAAAGGTAAAACATAAAGATTTACAGCATGAGGTTTTAAAATTAGGAAGCATTAACGTATACAGAATGGAGCTTCTTAGCTGCCAGAGCGAACTTGGTACCAGATATGTAATCTGGAGATATTTATCAACTAGGACAGGGGTTGGCAACCTAAGGCTCATGGGCCACAAGTGGCCCATGGACCCCCGCCGTCTGCTTGAGGATCCCTGCCGCCCACTCGGTCAGCTCCCATGTGCCACGCTAAACCGGTGTGGAGCAGAGCGGGGACTGTCTTCCGCGATGCTGGCCGGCTTCCCATTGGCTGCAGGAAGCTCCTGCAGCCAATGGGAAGCTGTGCATGCCTCCTCCGCGCCGGAAGGAGTGCCGGAAATAGTGTTTGTGCATGCGTGTGTGCACACTCCGGTCCACCGCAGTGTCTGCGGGACCGTGAACTGGCCGAAGCCACAAAATCTCTGCCGACCCCTGAACTAGGAGCTCAACTGTCACCTCCTGTGGTGATCGGACTGAGAGACAGTCAAGAACAGGTGATTTTTAAAAATCTCTTGACATTGAATATAAGGGGCAAAGAAGATGGTAATGCACAGCATCCTCAACCTGACTGCATCCATAAATGCACCTGAGTTCCATGTGGAGTTCCAGGTATCTCACCTCTAAATACGTTGAGGGTATCTTAGTCCTATGCAGCTGCGGGGAAGTCAGTGTCTCAAGGTAATGGGGCCTTGAGTGGTTGATATGTTGACTTTAGGGGGGGGGGGTTATAGTCTTCTGAAGCAAGGTTTGACAAATGTTTATCCAAGAGTTGTATCCAATGTAGCACTAAGTTAGTCATTTAGCAGTGTACTTGTTCCTTGAGCAAAACGTTTTGTGTCATTGGAACGTAGTTGTGCATAAGCATACTGCTGGTAAATTTTGGAGAAATAGACTGCTCAAGTTTCCACTAGTGCAACTGTTGCATTGGATTCTATTGTAGTGCAGTCCTAAAACTCCTAAGAGCCCTAGACCTAATGAATACAGAATCTTGAATATAGCCCAGAAAATCCAGAGAACTATCCATTCTGCATCTGGTAACTATGCTGGTTCTAAGTGCTCACTCACTCAAACAGGGAGCATGCACACACACAAAATCAGAAATGTGTGTGAAGTACTTTCTTAAATAATGAATCTAAAAGTAGTTAATGGCAAAATTAGTAAGTTAAGATCTTAATGAAACTTCTGTCCATGCATACAGCCCTTCACAGCAGGAGCAGACAAACCAGGAAGTCTTACATGAACTTAAGTTTCCCTTTTCAGACAAATCAGGAAACTATGGTTAACATCAGCAAAACCAGGATTGAAGTCCAACTTCAAACCATTTATTCTAAAATTTATTATTACAATTATATCCCACTTTTCCACTAAGAAACCCAATGTGGCACATGTGCTTCTCTTCTCTCTCCATTTTATAACCCTGTGAAGTAGGTTAGGTTGAGAGTGTGTGTGTGTCAGTTGTCTAAGGTCACCCAGGGGATTTCATATGACTGAGTGGGGATTTGACTCCTGGTTTACCAGGACCTTTCCCAACACTCCACCCACTCTTACCTTCATTATCTAGCTAGTTCTGCTGCTGTTAACCAAAGTTTAATGGTTTGGCCAAAAAGGGACACTACAGTTAATGAAAGACTTCCTGGTTTGCTCAATCGCATGAAGGGGCTGCATGAAAATGCCAAAAGGCTTGTTCATATCTCAGTTTTTTTCTTCTTAAGCTGAAATATGATAATCAGAATGCAGTCACCATTTTTAAAATTGTCCATACTTTTGTCAATACTGGTTTTTTTCTTAAATAAAGCATTTTGCCTGAATGTATCATTATAGAGATGCTACAAAAATGTATATAAATATTCTCATTATTATTATTTGTCACAGCTTAAACAACACACGTGCATATTTACGCACACCAGCATAAATAATTTTAAATAAAATATGCCAGAAAGGAATGCCACTCTTATTTCATATTTTACTTCCCATAAAACACCCCAAAGTGGTTTAACAATAAGAACACCAACAATAAAATATACATGTTTTATGATCTAGTGGGCAGAATGTAAATAAAATGGTGTCTTGTTACCACTGAAATCAATGGAACATAACCTTTTTGTTTATGTCTTAAAAACTTTATTTTATGAATATTGTTTTCCTAATACTTACACAAAACCTTTGTGGTAGCAAAATGGATTTATGTTTAAGAAGTCAATAGGAGATCCCCCCGCCCCCGCCTCTGGCAATATTATAAAATCATACTGAAAAAGCTGTGCTTGGCATTATGCCACATTTCATTAAAAGCAAGATAGTGGATATCAATGGGTAAGTCTTACTTCCCAGTAAATGTGCTTTGGACTGAAAGGAATCTTCTGGAACTCTCACTTTAGCATTGCCATTCGCCCTTTCTCAATCTTTAAAAACCCATTACACGGACACTCTTTACATCCTATATGACTGAGAGTCAAGTTCGATACAGTAACAATAATAGGAGTTCCTTCTTCTGTCTACTAATATGCAAACATTTCTTTAGTTCAATATGATTGGGTTATATCAGCTACTACAATGGTGACTACAGGGCTATGAATGGGAATCCTATGTGAGGAGGGAACCAAAATATACTAAAAAGTGCAGTTTGTTAAAGTACAGTGGACCCTCTAATTATGTACCGCTCTGGATACGTAAATTCCGGGTTTCTTCGTGCATGCGTAGAAGTGCTCTGCACGCCACATGCATGCACAGAAGCGCTCAATCATGTCGCACGCGTATGCAGAAGCAGCGCCTCTGCCTACAGATTTTTTGGGTTGCGGGTGGACCCCCAGAACGAATTTACTTCGTATCTGGAGGGTCCACTGTACAAGGAAAGGAGAGCTGATGACACAGTAACACTTTAAGATAAACAATGACATCTGTACTAGTTCACAGTACTAGTTCACAGTGCTAGTCCATAAAGGCAATGTCCAATGAGTACAGGGCAGGATGCAGCACTTCTAAAAATTGTGTTGGCCTCCTATTATGGAATAATTAAGTTCTTCAAATTGCAGCACATTCTCTGGCTGCCACACTTAAAAGTGTCATTCAACCGGATGTTATCAGAACAGAATTCAGTAACCATCAAGAAGACAGTTTGCCCTGCCCCTGTTACGTAAAATTATTTTGTAACTCTAACAGCTCATGAAGGCTTATTGCCAACAGGTCTTCCCTGAAAATGCACACTTTCTAAGGATTACCACCACAGGTAACAAGCAAGTTTTTAACACCTATGGAAAACTGGCTAAAAAGTTGATTGGACAATTGTATTTCAAATGAGACATGCCCAGTCTCTAGGCAAGGCTTAACGAAGAGAAGACTAGAACAGAAAGAGTCCTAAAAAGTGTTGCTTGTTATAGCACTGTTAGTATGATCAAGGGAAAAACCACAAGAAACGAACATGAAGATATTACCATTTGACATAGCATGGGTCAGTGCAGCTTTAACATCTTTCATAGGAAATGGGAACATCAAATGCTTAAAAAGATCTTTAAAGTTAGCACCTGTAGGAGCAGTAGTTTCCCTGCTCCAGTAAGAATACAGTCTTGATCTGAAAGAATAGGTTTTAACGTCTTTAAGATCAAATGACTATATTCTCAGTTATTTCCTGGAGTGAATATGAATATATTTTGCAGTGACTGCATTATGGGAAGAGTAGATCAAATAAGGTGAGGTTACCAGTGCTATGAAATTTAAATGGATTATTTAAACATACTGGAAATAAGACTGCACATTATCCACATAAGAAGGAAACAAGTTCCTTTTATAGGTGAACTCGAGCTCTTGAGCCAAAATTAATGTCTAAGATGACTTGAGGAAAAAATATTTAGGAAGTTTAACTGTTTAACACTATTAGGCATTTGCACTATTTGCCTTTACCATAAAATAATACCAAATGCAAATCTCCTACGTTAATCAGAATGGGGGGGGGGACGACTGATGATGGGGTGTTCACACACAGGGAATCGATACAACATTAACAACTATAATCTTGAGAATGGGCATGTTACCTGATTCAGTGTATTGTCGGTCTTTAACTCTTTATGGTTTGAATACTGGATATAAATGGGCTGATTACGAAGGTGAGGTGTCACAGCAGAGTAATAATTGACCATAGTGATCGCAGCTTCTTCTGTTGCCAATTCCAAAAAAGCCTATAAAAATATTAAAAATGGTTTTGTAGTATTTGCAGCATACATAACTATATTCTGTTTCTGAATTTGCCAGGCTCTTTCATGATGAGACATTTAAAACACTTGCCAAAATCATTCAGAATCCATTACACATTACAGATCTAACTTAAGCAAGGACTAGGTCAGAATGTGCCCCAACTGTCCACAAAATGCTACAGCTTCCCTTGAGGGCAAAAGCAGTCACAGCTCTGATGTCTGTTTAAGGAAATGAGCATGTACAATTTTTTCAGACATACCCACTTGAAGCAAACTTGGAGATATTTACAATCTGACAGTTAAGGTTGTAGACTTGCTCTTATCCATGGGTTGTTGACAAACCAAAACATGGCAAACAGTTTTTTTAAAAAAATGGCAGAGGGGAATCCCAAGAGCAATTTTCAGAAAGAAAAGCACTTTTATGTGGGTTCTCCTCTCCAAAACATAGATGACAGGAGGACCAGTACCTGCCTGGCTGAAGGGAGAAGCATAGAGGTCTGAACAAGCAGCAGCGCTCCAGGCTCCATAACCTTAAAAAGCAAGTGACTTGTTACACCTATCAGCAGATCACTGTGGCTATTTGAAGTTTGCCAAACCTGATCCTAAATGAAAGGGAGCACTGCTCCACTATTCCAATTTCTGAGAGAAATATGCAGGATCCAGCAATATGTTGAAAGACATGGTGGCCAATTACCTTCCCCCGACCCAATAGAAAGTATTCATTTTTCCACAGGTTTCAAATTGGTAGATGACTATTTAAAAGCCTTCATATAAAAACCTCCAGTAAACTGTGTGGCTGCGAACCACAGGAGGCAATTGGGCAAAGGTTATTTTCAACAGACAGCATCCAATACTGTAGGAGAATGGATCTGGATTTATATCCCTTTACCACAGGTTATTAAAGGCGTGCTTGATCTCCTGACTTGGCTGTTAGAACTCCTGACCAAGAAGTCAAAAGTTTATAATGTGCCTGTCAGAAACGGCTTATAGCAGGGAGGGGCTGACTCCTGGTCTGGGGACCTGATCCAGGCCCCCAAAAACAGTTTTTGAGACTCCCAAGACCATGCTGATTTTGACTGCAAGAAAAGAAAAGAAGATACAGTGCTGGGCTGGATGGGAGGTTTAAATCTGCCCATCAGTTCAATCATTTGGTGAGTTGGGAAGGGATAAGAATCACCTTCCTTAGCTAATCTGCACAAATAATGAGAGAGCTTTTAGTGGCCTTTGCAGAAGCTATTATGGTGAAGAAAACGAATGTTTCCTTTGGATCATGTACTATTATTGGGTATATTTGGGGAAAGAATATGAAGGACTATTCTATTCGCCTAAAATGAGTCTTCAGGCTGGTTAAAGAGTTAAGTGCTCTTTCATTGCATCCTCTAATAACTATGTAAAAACACTATTCAGCAGAAAGCATTCCTCAGGCTTCTTGCTCAAGAACATCCTCAATAATCTTGCTCAACAAGATACATCCCATCTCATAGTTCCCAGAGTCTATTGTTTCCTGCAAACTCATGTATGTAATTTTCGATTAAGTAGCAAAACAAGATGGATAGTTGTCTCATCCTCATTCTCCAAGTTTAGCCCTTTGAACAAATAGCAGTCCCTTTCAGAAGGAGTAAACTCTAAGAGTGTAACATGACAATCTAAAGCCCGGTTGCAAGGCATGGCAGCCACCGCCACATCCACAGCCCCTTGGTCACACTGGCCAGGGTGGAAGGTGGGAGTGGATAGGAAAGCCACCACACCAGCACTCAAGGCTAGATCAAGGTTGATGGTGTCAAGGGATGGCAGTGGGGCCAGCTTGGGTATATCAGTCTTGAGCTGGTTCAGTCCCTCCCACTTCCTGCACTTCCACCCGCATGTTTGGCAGGCAGAACAGGGAGCTCCACACTGGCATTGCGACACTGGTGTCACTCCACAGGCAGAAGCTTGTAGGGCTGGATTACAGCCTAAGTGGGACTTATTTCTGAATGTTTAGAATTAGGCTGTGAATGTGATCCCATGTTAAGGAGGCAGGAGAAGCTCCTCAAAGGTTTTCATCTTCTTAAGTCTTTATTATCAAAGCAGAACTATAATCTTTGTTATATCAGATTTGGTAAAACACTATCAGAATTTACAGTCTGAACAAATTAGGTTTCTTCAAATGAAATATTTTTAGGTAAGATTAGTTTTCAGACACCAAAACATAATTTTTTCACAAAACACATTGAAAGACGCACGTTTTTTTTAAAAAACAAACAAACACAGAAGTATAGGATGATAACTGAAAAGACACTGCGTTAACCAGTATTAGGAAGAAAAGCAACCATCAAGCCATATTTAAGAACCTGATATGCTAAGCAAAAGAGCAGCTTGGCTCTGATTGTTGAGAATCTGAAGTGCTGCTCTCCCTCCTGCTATTTAGGTGCAAGAAAATGGAGGCAGGGCAAGGAAGAACTGGTATTTACTTATCTGCCCCTTCATGATTGCCTTCCTTTAAAGTTGGCAGGAGCAGAGAAAATGAATGAGTTACAGAGATATGAAACAGAAAAAAAGACTTCTCAAGAGTTAGCTTGTATCTCCATCAGAACTCTGAGTCTTCAGAATTCTCAGCAAACAGGCAGCTCTCACACTGGGGAGTGTAGCATCAGTTAGGCTCTTCACGATGAGTTTCATTGAGCTCAATATGGATTGGGTTCAATCAAATATGGATATGATTGGGCCACAGCACAGGCCACTGCTGCTGTCCCTCTCTAAATTGATGCCCATAAGGTGGTGACAGTAGCAGAGAATTTAAACTTAAGGCCTGTTCATTACTGTATCTGCAGAAACATCTATTGATGCCACAAAACGTGGGAAAAGTAGCTCCCAGTGCCAGAAGACCACTGTATTGGTAGTCCCCCATTCTAACAGGAGAAGGCTTGGGAAAGGTGAAACTGGTAGTGTGGGGCATGGCCATACAAAAACAAGCCCTTTCTTGGTAGGCGAGAATGGGCCTGTGCACAGCTTGAAAAATGAGACTTGGGGGCAGGGGGAGGAGACACATTTGAGTCCACCATTTTGAAATCTACCACCATAATCAATTTCAAGGGGAGATTACAATGTGAATAATTCTCTCCCAATGAAATCAGCATGAGCTAGATGTAATTACCTTTAGCTGAATTGTGCTTAGGACCCAAACCTATGTACTGCAACACAACAGCAGAAGATAGGATCAAGTGAATAAAAGCAAATGTCCAACCAATGGGTACTGATGCTTAAAATCTGGCCTTTTATCTCACTCTTGTAGAAGGTGTGTGTGTGTCCATGAACACTGAATCCTGCACTTATTAACTTGAAATATTTCTCCAAGCCTGGCTAGTAGAGTAGGCTCCGTTGCTGGGATATGGCCTCAACTTAAGGCAGTCAGAATATTTAGACTGATTGGTGGGTAGATGTTTTCTATACTAAAATAGTAAGACAAAATTAGAAAGTACCTGGTTCTTTCCTTTCAGCATGAGAATGTTGGTTACCTTACCAAAAGGTAAGCCTAAAGCAATAACTTCTGTTTCTGTCACTTCCCCTGGTAATTTCCTGATATGAAGAACACGAGAAGGAGCCCCATCCATTTTATCTTCACCTTTGAATTTCTTGTTGTCGTTACCATTGGCTGAAAGACATTTTTTTATAATTCATTTCATATCTGAAAACTACCCTATTTATTATAAACTCATCAAGAAAAATACAATTTGTGCATGCATACAGTTTCCAAATCAGTATGTGAAATGAGTATTTTTTTTTCTTTCAACCAACATTTTAAAAAGATTAACTGAAGTAAAATGCAGCTGCTAATGTGCTTCCTCACAAAGCCCTGCAATATTTGGCGAATCAACTTACCATGGATTTTTCCTGCAACCATTACATAATTAATTGCCTGAAGCACTGAGAAGCAAAGATAACTGTACAATAACTGATAACCATTTCAGGTTATCCTAAACTATGTGGTAGGAAACACTAATGTGCCAAGGGATAACTGGTAGTACACCTTAAAAAATAAATAAAAGCACTGGTGAGCCCAAAAGGCAATAATTCAGCAAGAAAGGAGCCTCCTCGCTGTATTTCTGCATGGCTGACTGCTCTAGTCTTGGTTTTCTTTGAATTAACCTTCACTGCTCCATGGGGTAAGTAGTCCTGCTCCATCACAGTTATGGTAGGATCTGCATCATCACAGTGCAATCACAGATAATTACCTATCCTTGAAAGTAGCTCATGGGGGTCTTTATATGTTACTGGTGTGGCCTGGCCTTTTTCCAGTCAGGAACCACGCAAAAAGGAGTTATGAGGGCAGACAATTCTCATTAAACCAAGAAACTTGCCTGGGCTTTGAGTGTGATATCTACGTTCAATTTTAATTGAGGTTTAAAAACAAAGTGCTTTAGCTCTCAAAAGTTTCAGAAAAAAATGTGTTAATTCATCCTAAGTAGTCAAGCAACAATGGACAACCACTGTGAAGACCCTATTTCTTTCCAAACAGACATAATGCATTGCTTCCACCTTTTGTTATCTGTTAGATAGAACAGTACACCAAAAGTTTAAGAATCCTTAAATGATACTAAAAATACTATTCAAAATTCAGGCTGATATCCTAATGTGCTACTCAACATGAGATGGTTGATTTATGTTGTGAGCAAGGGATGTGATCACAATTAGCACAGAGAAAAAAAGCAGATATTAATAGCAACTAGAAGGTGAAATCAATTACTTGTGGAGGGGGGGTGGAACTGGCAATTGAGAAAAAGGCAATTAGATTAGAAACAACGAAGAATGCACCGGTGAAACAGAGAATGGTTATCATAATGTAGAGAATAGTTAACAATGCAAATGTCCTCTTATTTCCTACATTTAATAGAAATAATGTATTAAAATCGAAGTGAAGAATGCAATAATACTGTCCTACAAAACCTAGCAGCATAGCTATTATCAGGTTTTAAATTTGATCACTCATTACAATTAATTACCTGAAGCACTCAAAGGGGGATTAGACAAATTCATGGAAGATAAGGCTGTTAGTAGCTACTAGCCATGATTGCTATGTGCTACCTTCTGGATCACAGGCAGTATATCTCCAGCTCTACCTACCAGTGACTGCATTAGATAAGCATTTGATCGCATTCCCAACACATACATATAAATGATGAATTGCAAAAAATACTTCCTTTTAAGGAATGTACTTGTGACAATAGTTACAGCAGAATCCTATAATTTTTTTACTCACAAGGCAAGTGTGCATAGGACTCCAGTCCTAGTGATCTACACTAAACTGCAGTTTCTCTTTCACCTCTTCCTACCCCAAGTTAGCCCAACACAAATGCAAGGAGGGGCATATTCATATTGTGAATGCCACTCAAAAAGGTTGCTGCTTATACAATTTTCTTTCTCCTAAGAGCAAGGGTGGGGAACCACTTTTTAACAGGCAGGCCAGATCAAAAAGTGGCCACTTGTCTTTTAACAGGTGGGTGGCTCTGTCAATCGCCTTACGTCATAAGGTGTTGGGGGATTCTGAGTCCGCTTGAAAGCAGCAGGCTTTGTATACCACGTTGAATTTAAACAGGGCCAGATGCAAGCCCTGTTGCAAAGAAACAATTGGAAGAACACTTGGGAGCTCCTAAGCAGAGGCAATCTAAGCAGGACTTGCATTGGGCACTGAATTTGCTTCCATGTAACTAGTTTAACTGTAAACATACAATGATTGCCAGTTAAGAAAATAGATAAAGAGAGAGTTGTAAACAGGACCAATCACTAAAAGAGTAGAAACTTCCACTGCAGCCTTTTAGGACACGTTTTTTTAAAAAAGAGAGAGGCTAAAACTACATATAGTGGTTTCAGGTTTTTCTACAGACAAGGGGGGAGCAAAGCTGGTAACTTAAGCAAGCAGCATTAGTGGATGGGTGGTTAACACTCCCCCTTCATGCTGGTTTTGTGATTCCACCAGTCTACACACTCACAACTCTACCATATAGTCCCCATGGATGGAAAACTATCAATCACCCACTTCGTGCCTCCCCCTTCCCAGCACAGGTGCTATAATAAACATTACAGACCCTACTTCAACTGCATTTTCTTAGAAAACGATCATTGCAAGTGGATAACTACACACCAGGGGTGTAATAATAATAATAATAATTTATTTATACATACATACATACATACATACATACATACATACATACATACATACCCTATCCATCTGGCTGGGTTTCCCCAGCCATTCCGGGCAGCTTCCAACAGAATATTAAACTACAATAGTCCTTCAAACATTAAAAGCTTCCCTAAATAGGGCTGTCTTCTAAAAGTCTGGTAGTTGTTTTTCTCTTTGACACCTGGTGGGAGGGTGTTCCACAGGGCGGGTGCCACTACCGAGAAGGCCATCTGCCTGGTTCCCTGTAACCTCACTTTTCGTAGTGAGGGAACCGCCAGAAGGCCCTCGGCACTGGACCTCAGTGTCCGGGCAGAACAATGGGGGTGGAGATGCTCCTTCAGGTATACTGGACCGAGGCTGTTTAGGGCTTTAAAGGTCAGCACCAACACTTTGAATTGTGCTCGGAAACGTAAGACACTATCCTCTTTCAGTATCCTCTCAGACTTACCTCCTAGCAATATGGGTATAACGTTTGACACAAAACAAATGGGTTAGAATAGCACCTGCAAATTTTGCCTATCTTGGTTTTTGTGAACCACCCTGAGATCTACGGATGAAGGCCAGTATACATATCAAATAAATAAATAAATAAATAAGAAAGAAAGAAAGAAAGAAAGGCCAGAGGCTTCCATTCTGTTAAATGAAAGCTGCTAAAAACACCCTACTGATGTGTTTTTAGTTTATTGCTGGATCTAATTTTTTAAATCTTTTAATTGTTTTACTAACTATTTTATTGTTTTACCCTTTTTGTAAACTGCTGTGAGGGTTTGTTTTGTTTTTACAGTCTAGCAGTAAATAAATTTTATGAAATAAAAAAACACTCGGGAGGTACGTACAAACTGTAAGGGGGGAACGAGCAATTATCGGTTTTCTTTTCCACCTCTGCTCATGAGCTTGCTAGAATTTTATGCTTGCTGTTTTGGTATAAGCATGCACTCAGTCAACCTATATTTTAAGAAGAAAAGTTCAACCAGTTTTATTGTTTTATTTTTGCTATTTGGGCATACCTAATTACTACACACTGCTTTAAAGACCAAAGCAGACGTAGAAAACTTTATTGAGCCGTATTTGATTTAGTTCCAAAAGTCCATAGTTGGGGTGGAGGGAGTGGTCTCTCAGGAGAGTTACCCAAGGCAGGGAAAACTCAATAATCACATATAAGGAAGTTAATTGTGCTGGAGTGTTTAACTGGAAATTCCTCCATTGCTACCCTGTTGGTCGCAGCAAGATTACTAAATTCTCGTCAACAGTGAGTAAACAGGACATCCTACTTGTTGAAATCTACCAAAGATTAGGAAGAATGCAGGCACAACAACTGAAAATAAGCAAACCTGAACTGAGAAATATAGGCTTCAACTTGGCAAAGCTAAATACTGAGAAACTGCAACTCAGATAAGAGCTGAAACACAAGGAGAAAGACAGACACACAAGACCAAGTTGCTGATCCATAAACTGCTACAACTTGTACAAGAGCACGTGCAGGAGGAACAGAAGCCCAACTTAAAATGAGATACTGTGCCTGCAAGAGGTCCTGTTCACTTAAAAAAAGTTTTTTTTAGTTTTGTTTGTTTGTTTTGCCTGCCAATGCAACATCTGAAAAGCATATAGTCATAAATAACCAAAGCTGTTACACATTGATGGAAGTAGATATGGGCATGATTTAATTCTTCCGCAGTCCTGCTTTCTTTTCACTCATAAAGTAATCTTTATGTAATTATGTAAAGTCATCTTTCAGACAGCACAGCCTGTCTGAAAACTTTGCTGTCATGGGTGGCTTCTGTATATTGCAAGAGGCTGACCTTACTAGACAGTATACTATGTACAACTCAGTTTACTTGATTTTCCTCTACCAACTCAAATACCAGGGAGATATGGAAAGCCAAACTCTGTACTTCAGGGTTACAGTGATTTGTAAAAGAACTAAAAAATATTTATCGTAAAGTTACTACTCAAAGCCTATGATAGAATATTCTAGCTAAGTGGAAGCCAATTATTTATACTCATTTTCAATAAATGATTCCCAAAATTATATTTATGAAATGCTAATTTAGTATGTTAAAAACAGCCATGTATCAGCATTGGTAAACTTTTACTTCAGTTGAACCCTATGCTCAATGTAGTAAGTGGTAAGGTCATTCAATAACCGGACTATAAAGATAAAGAAACCACCTTGCAAATTGGAGTGATAACTGAAGAGTATTCACTTGCTAAAGAAGAACTGAAGAATGTAACTTGAAATCTATACAGTTTTCTGACCTATTTAGTTAGAATAGACTTTTGCAATGACACACATATTAAGCTATGTTTAGCTTCTTCTTAAAGGATTAGAAAGCTGCATTCTTGATGGAAAAACAGTAATGATTGTCCTATATCACATTTTAATTCCTTGTACATTTTTATTCGATTTTATAAATAATATACACAATCATACTTTTTACCTAATTAGCAACTGTGTCATCCACAAATATTGT